TTAGATATCCTGAGACAGCATAAGTTTTTCATCAAAGCAAGCAAATGTGATTTTGGAAAACAGGAACTGGAATATTTGGGCCATATTGTGACACATCAAGGGGTACAGGTAGACAACAAAAAAACTAAGGCCATGGTAGCTTGGCCACAACCTGCTAATATAACTGAATTACATGGATTTTTAGGCTTAACAAGTTATTACAGGAAATTTGTTCGGAACTATGGAATGTTGGCTCGCCCCCTTACCAATCTCTTCAAAAAGGAAAGCTTCCAGTGGACCGAAGAAGCAGCGGGTGCATTCAATTAGCTCAAGCAAGCCATGACAACTACCCCAACTTTAGCCATGCCAAATTTTAATGACTCTTTCATTGTGGAAACTGATGCTTCAGGTGATAGAATCGGCCCTGTCTTTACTCAACAAGGTCAGTCAATTACGTTTATGAGTCGCGCTTTGGGAATTAGTAAACGAGCTTGGTCCATCTACGCTAAGGAAATGCTTGCTATTGTGGAAGCCATTCGGACCTGGCGACCATATCTTTTGGGTAGGAATTTTTCATTCGAACTGATCGCGAGAGTCTTAAATATTTTCTGGATCAACGTGTGGCCACTCCCGAGCGACAAAAGTGGGTAGCAAAGCTTTTGGGCTATGGCTACGAAATTCTTTACTGACTAAGACGTGAAAATTCAGCAGTTGATGCCCTCTCTCGTCACCCGGACAGCCCTCTCCTTAATCCTTTGTTTGTTTCACAGGTTACTCTTTAGGATGACATGAGAAGGGCAGCACAAGATGATCCGTATATGCATCAAGTTAGCTTTCAATCAACTACGAATCCCATCGGTCCGTACTCAATGCAAAATGGCCTCTAATTTTACAAAAAAATAGTGATTGTCCCACAAACTATTCGTAACTAGCTGCTACAGGAATTTCATGACAACAAAATGGCAGGGCATTCTGGCGTATTGGGGACATTCAAAAGGTTAGCTCAACAATTTTATTGGCCATCCATGTACCGATCAGTCCAAGACTATATTATGCAATGTGAAGTTTGCCAAAGAACCAAAACTGAAACTCTAGCTGCAGCTAGATTACTTCAGCCACTTCCCGTTCCCTGTCAAGTGTGGGATGATATCAGTGTGGACTTTATTGAAGGCCTTCCATCCTCCCACGGCAAAGATAGTCTTTTGGTGGTCATAGATAGACTCAGTAAGTATGCTCATTTTGTTGCTTTATCTCATCCGTTTTCTGCAAAGGTTGTAGCTGAACATTTTGTAGAGCACGTCGTCAAACTCTATGGCATGCCTAAATCAATCATTAGTGATCGCGACCCTATCTTTATCAGCAAATTCTGGCAGGAGTTTTTCACTATGTCAAGAACCAAGTTGAAATTGAGCTCTGCCTGCCACCCCTAGACCGACGGACAAACTGAAGTTGTGAACCGCTGTGTTGAACAATACCTCCGCTGTTTTGTCCATCAATGGCCACGAAAATGGTATCGTTATTTACCTTGGGCAGAATTCTGGTATAATACCACCTACCACAGCTCAACGAGGATGACACCTTTCCAAGCATTGTATGGATGGCTTCCTCCTTCTATTCCACTTTATTTTGATGGGTTATCTCGGGTTAACGAAGTTGATTAAGGCCTCTTACAACGAGATGAATTGCTCCAGCACTCGAAGAAGAATTTGAACATGGCAGCTAATAGAATGAAACAAACAGCAAACAAAAAGAGGCGAAATGTGGAGTTTCAAACAGGTGATATGGTCCTCCTAAAGCTACATACTTATCACCAACAAACCGCCTTCAAACGGGTGCATCAGAAACTTGCCAACAAGTTCTACGGCCCTTATCAAATCGAGAAGAAGATCTGCAATGTTGCTTACCAACTGCAATTACCAGCAGGTGCAAGACTCCACCCTGTTTTCCATGTCTCTCTCTTGAAGAAATATGTAGGGGGTCCTCCACAAGTTACGCTGGAGCTCCCAACTATTACTGATGAAGGTGTAGTTTCCGTAGAACCAGAGAAAATCCTAAATACACGCTGGATTAAACAGGGCGATAAATTTATTGAAGAGAGCTTAGTGAAGTGGAAGCAATTGCCTACTGAAGATTCTACATGGGAGGACACAACACTGCTGCATAATCAGTTTCCTTATCTGGACTTTGAGGACAAGGCTCCAATTGGCGGGGGGAGTGTTGATAAGCCGAGAAGATCTGAACGAATCCCTGAGAAGAATCCCAAGTTTTTAGCTTGAGTTAGACCAAGTCTAACCCTGCCTTTTATTTTATTTTCTACTGTTGTTTTGTATTTTTGCTCATTCAAAGTTGTTACAACCCACTTCAAGGTTGTTACAACCCACTCCCTTGAATTTAGACTAGTTAGTTTCCTGAGTTGAAGCTGATCTGTTAAGTTTAACTCTATTTATTGGAACGTTTGCAATGAATAAAGCAGATATAATTTCCTTTCAAACAGTTGTGGTTTATCTTTCACCCAAAGAAAGTGAGTATTCCTCATAATTGTTTTCTGCTTCATAATCAAGACCTATCAGTGAAGTTCTTGGAGGTACAGTTGCTGATTATCTTTAAGGTGACATTGAGGATGAAGTCTTAATACTAGATAGGCCATGGAAGGGGAACCGAATTACAATTCAATCAAAAAAAAATCCTCAAAATATAATACAAAATTATCAAATGCCAATACTTTGATTCCACTTCTGCATTAGGTTTTTCCAGATATCAATATTTTGATTCTTTCTCACAGATTTCACACGAAAGTAAATATCAACAGATTCAACACCAAAATATACTTCTATATTCTATAATATTGTACCAGATAATCCGAGAACTCCAAGGCAAGATCTGGGCTGCAAATGTTACTATGTATTTCTCGGATTTTAGAAGATAATATGAGATTTAGGATTGGGTTTAGGACTCTTTTTTTTTTCCTTCTAGTTCATAAATCGACGATGATGGATGGGAAACTGATTCTATCATTCTAATTGGTTGATTTTTTAGTTACCCGACATGTATATAATTAAAGTAGAATGGGTTGTACATATATTTTAACGGATTATTCTAGTGGTACATCACCACTTACACAAAGGTGTCCATAATGGACACCCCGATGTAAGAGGTGATGTACCTCTAGCATCTCCCTATTTTAATAAACACGCTACTTGGGTCTAATTTTGTAATTTGTATGCATATTAAATTCAGAAAACTTTAGATACATTTGTACTTTGATAAAAATTATAATTTCATAAAATTTATTTTTTTAAAAAAAGTTTGATTCAGTTCGATCTTTTGCGGTTTTCGAAAATTAAAACATAAACCAAACCATTTTGAAACAATTTGGTTTGGTTTGAGAGAAAAATACTGCGGACCCGAACCAACGGGTTTGGTTTGGTTTGGTTGCGATTTCGGGGTCTTTTTTGTGAAGCCCTAATTCAGCTCCTATTTGACGACTACTAAAATGAATTATTTCGGGGTTTTTTTGTGAAGCCCTAATTCAGCTCCTATTTGACGACTACTAAAATGAATTATTATTATTATTATTATTATTATTATTATGAGAAAATGAGTTTTAAAATAGTGATATTTGGAAAATATGTTTAAAAAGTAGGAAATTCTTTTAGATTTTCGCGTAAAATATTTTATTGTAAGAATGTGCAGTTGACAATGAATTTAAAAAAAAAGAATTTTATTTTAATGATTGTCAAATAGAGACTAAAGAAAAAATGAGAAAAAGATGAATGTCTTGCATCAAGATTCAAGAATATCTTGCTCTTCACATCAAAATCTTGAAACTTTCTTTTCTTTATTCCACCTAAAGTAGTCATTATATACTACCGAACCCGTCTTGAAAATCGTGTGCTCAAAAGGTCCAAAATACCTAAGGATTAAATGTCATTTTTTACCACCATTATTTTCAAATTCTTTTTTTTTTATGTACTCATTTTCAACCATACATTCGTACAATAAGATATTCTGCATGTAAAACAAAAAGAAAAATCCTACTTTTTATCCCCACATTTAAAAAAAATATTGTTCAAAACTTTATTTTCCATAATTAATGATTGTAAAACAAGGGCTAAACATTGAAGTTCTATACAAACCCATCACACTTCAACTAAAGATCCAAACCCAGCACTGAAGCAATTCCGATACTCGTGCAAGGGAGTGTTGACAATGTTTTTGACAAGGTGACGTGGCTAAATAAAAAAAGTTGAAAATATTTTTTAAAAAATAATAAATAAATAAAGTGAAAATTTAAAGGACAAGCGTCGTCATTTTACACCAATTTTCCCCCAAATTCGAACCCTCGAAATCAACCGCCGTTTTGCCGATACACTCGTCACCACTTTCGACCACCGTCACCCCGTTGAAGAAAAAAACTACCCGTCTATTTACCCCTAAACATAGATCGGATTATGAAAACATTTCCATATCATTTGGCCCGAATTTGTAGATCGACGAACAAGTTGTTCACTACAAACTTTTGGCTTTGTAAGCATGGATTTCAGAAATGACAATACTTCTCAAATAAAAGACTTTTTGCTTCAATAACACAGAAAACGGATACTTTAACAAATCAAAAACATCATGTACGTTGGGTGATGAAAGGAACTTAGAAGCATAGATTCAAGATATTATTCCAATCCATAACAGGCGAATTGAAAGACAATGCGAACAAAATCTATACAAAGCTTTCACTGAACTAAGTGAACAAAATGGGATTCGTGGTTATCACTTAGACCAGAGAAAGTCAAAATACAGATTGAGACGAATGATGTGTTTTCCAGCTTCGCAAATCCAGTAAACAAATGGTATTTCAAACTGATACAATGGAAGCTTTCTAATAACCGGCACACTATTTCAACTGGTGATATGGAAGCTTTCTAATAACCCCCACACTACTTCATTCCCTTCAAAAAATGCAGCACGTACTTGAGAAGAAAGAGTGATGTTTCGAATATCAAAAGAGTCGCCACTTTTTTACAATGGACCTTGACATGGCGCCAGTCAAACGAGGCTGGACTGAAAGATGGAGATTATGGACCTTGACATGGCGCTGGTTAGATGAAGCTGGACTGAAATTTGGGACTGGAGTACACGATGGTGCTCGATTGAAATTTGGCCCATGTTTGAGCCACATTCTCATTTTCATTATCATTCTTCTACCCATTTTTTTCAATCAAACATTCTTAATAAAATAATATTTTCCATCACATCAATAATTTTTTCTTCTTTTTCAACTACATATTCATCATCACATTACATCATTAAAAAAATGCATTCTTTCTTACAAAATGTGCATCAAACACACTCTTGGTTAAAAATTTGTCTTCATTCTTCTATTTTACTCGTACAAGGATACTGCCAGGATTCTTCTATTTTACTCATACAAGGATATTGTCGAGGGCTGTCGGAGCTGTCGTCGAAAAGGAAAGTGGGATTGAGGGTTTAACCATTTGGGGATTAAGACGGGTTCTTTGTATAATGGATGTGGGTCCTTATTTTCTCATTTAATTCCCAGCAGAAAATGTTTTTTTTTTTTTTTTATTTCATTACCAGGTCAGCCAATTTCAAAATGAATAATGCTAAGTGTACACAATCTTTTACACAATCTTTTACACCTCTCTCACATGGAGGGGAGCCCACACATAATAAAATAATCGTGGACCCCCCTCCATGTGAAAAAAGTGTAAAAAATTGTGTAAAAGTGTGTGTACACGTAGCATTACCCTTTCAAAATCCTGCCATCCATGTTGTCAACCTGTACAACCAGCACTATACGCACTGAAGAGCACTTATCTTTTGAGGTACCCTTTTCGCCCACTTTTGTATAAGCAAATATATATACACTTCACACTCCATAGACAATTTGAGCTTGACAAAATGGCAATTTCTCTTCTACCGTCCCACCCTCTTTCCGCCCAACTTCCTCTGCCAAAACCCAGAATTCTTTATTCCAAACTAACTTCAAAACCCATTTGTTTTTCTTCATCTTACCTCAAACCTATTGAAATTAGGCCTTTCAGAACCCAATTAGGAAAAATCCCAGCTCAATTATACCCTTCAAAGAAGGTTTTAGTACAGGTAGGAAGATCAGAACCCGACGGGACTGAATTTCTGGCGGGGGAAGATTCTGCAGAATTCGACTTGTCGAAACAGAAGATTTCGTCATGGGTTTATTTTATGGGTGTTNAAATAAAAAAAATAAAGGATTTTTCTGGATGTACAAAACCTTGTACAAAATGGATTACAAAATCGCCAAGTGGCGCCCCACTATTGGAGGGGTGCCTGTTGCGTCGGCGCCCCTCCAATAGTGGGGCGTCACTTGGCCACTTTGTAATCCATTTTGTAATCAATGGTGGGGCGCCACTTGGCCACTTTGTAATCAATTTTGTACTTGTAGCATCCTCTTTTTTTTTATATTTCTTTACCAGGTCAGCCAATTTCAAAATCCTGCCATCCATGTTGTCAACCTGTACAACCAGCACTATACGCACTGAAGAGCACTTATCTTTTCAGGTACCCTTTTCGCCCACTTTTGTATAAGCAAATATATATACACTTCATACTCCATAGACAATTTGAGCTTGACAAAATGGCAATTTCTCTTCTACCGTCCCACCCTCTTTCCGCCCAACTTCCTCTGCCAAAACCCAGAATTCTTTATTCCAAACTAACTTCAAAACCCATTTGTTTTTCTTCATCTTACCTCAAACCTATTGAAATTAGGCCTTTCAGAACCCAATTAGGAAAAATCCCAGCTCAATTATACCCTTCAAAGAAGGTTTTAGTACAGGTAGGAAGATCAGAACCCGACGGGACTGAATTTCTGGCGGGGGAAGATTCTGCAGAATTCGACTTGTCGAAACAGAAGATTTCGTCATGGGTTTATTTTATGGGTGTTGCAGGAGTTGTAGCTTATGTTCTTAATGTGGCGTGGATTGATAGCTCCACTGGATTTGGTAAACCATTCATTGACGCTGTTTCTAGCATTTCCGAGAGCCCTGAGGTTTGAATTTAGACACTGTTTTGTTTAGATTGGTTCAACTTATGTTGAGTTGTATGAAAAATGATAAATTCGTTTATGAATTTTAGACGTTATGCTTACTCTACAGTAATTTGGTTTGTTTTCGTCTTTATAATCTTTCTTTGATACAAACATGTCCATCATTTATAAGTTCAATTAAAAAAGTTTATTCTAGTCTTAATCATATTACGTATTATCTTTACCAAATTGGCAGTTGAAGTAGAAATTCAATATGGTTTTGAAGCCTAATTTCACACATTTGTCTAGTGTTTTCTAAATACTGGAGTGCTGATAGTTGGAGATGATCGTATTAGATGAAAAGCGGATCTTGTTTCATTCAAGTTATATACTTAAAGAGCTCTAATTTCTTGGAAATTTATTCTCGACGACTGGAACATAGTTTGAACATCTAAAGTATTGTTTCATATTAGATTATTTTATCAGCTTGATTTGTTGCATACTTCTTAAATGTACACACACTTGTGTCTTTTAAGGCATCTGAAATGGTTTTTTTACACTTTAAGGATCTAATAGGTTTATGTAAAGCATGTTAACTTTTGAAAAGATGAAGAAGACTCGAAGATGAAATGAATGTATGGAGGTTTATTATTTGAAACCATTTAGTGGTCATGTATTTCTAATTTGATCATCAATGCCTCTCCAAGTGCCTTTATAGTAATTCATGAACTCGGCTTTTCTGAAACATGTTATTCATGATACAAGTCTGCTATGTTTTGATGTCTAAAATGATTTTCGACGTCTGTAACCTTCCATTATCTTGTCGATATAGAGTTGGTCAATGATCCTTCGAATTCCATAGACAGATTTATTCATCATGCATCTATAGTCAAATATCCCAATTTGAAGTATGTAGTTGTTGCTAATTTTTGTCAATGCCTCTTTTATGCAGGTTGTAATGTTAATCCTTACCATCATTTTTGCAATCGCTCATAGTGGCTTAGCTAGTCTGAGAGACGCAGGTGAAAAACTCATTGGAGAACGCGCATTCCGCGTATTATTTGCTGGAACAGCTGTTCCACTAGCTCTTAGTACAGTTGTGAGTTCCTGTCCCATGTTTACTGTATGTATACTTGAGAGATTCCTGTTTGACGAGTGTAATAAAAGATCTTGTGGTCTCTGCAGGTTTATTTCATTAACCATAGATATGATGGTGTACAGTTATGGCAACTACAGGGTGATCCTGCAATACATGAACTTGTTTGGTTCTCTAATTTTATTTCCTTCTTTTTTCTCTACCCGTCAACCTTCAATTTGCTTGAGGTTGCGGCTGTTGACAAGCCTAAAATGCATCTTTGGGAAACCGGAATAATGAGAATTACAAGGCACCCACAGGTATGATGTTCCATTACTGTTGGCACTCTAATAACATATATTCAATAAGCTGCTTATGTGTTAACCTATATTCGCTTTCGTAATTGCCCTGTTTTCTCTGCTTTATTTAATAATGTGATTGAATGGATTCTTGTAGTTAATGTTGTGCTAATTTAAGAGTCGTGTATGCGGTTAAAAAAATATGACAAACCGAATACTTAACTATATATTAAGGTCCAGTAGGTTGTCAAATTATGTGGTTACAAATAACAATATTCCAGTTTTTTCAAACATTTTTCAACAAACTAGTTACAAAAGTCATCAATCTCACTATGGCTATGAATAGAAGTATGGTGTATAAATCTAGGCACAAAGTTTTGATTTGAACTTGTTGTATTTTGCATTGCTGCTTTCATGTTGAATTTCGGCATTTTCTCCATTTTCGGGGATTTTGGAAGATAATCATGCCAAGTCCAATTCTGTCTCGTCTGCATCTCCATTATTTCATGGAATTGGAACGATGAAAACAGATAAATTGTTCTTTTCTTTGTAGTATTTGGGAGGTCATTCTTCAAAGAAAAGTGCACCATGTCAATTTGCTATTAATTTGTTCTCTCTCCCTTTGCCTCCAAGTCTCCCTTTACCACCCCCTTCTCCCCATCTTCCTATGTTCTCTCTCTCATGGCATGTTTGGCAAGGTGGATTATACAAACACGGACATGATTTTTAAAAAAAAGGCCGAAGAAGCTAAAATCTTCTTCATTGTGTTGTCTACTATGGATCTACTACTGTATACCAAGCAATCACTCGTTCTTTTTCTTTTCAGATGGTTGGGCAAGTAATTTGGTGCGTGGCTCATACAGTTTGGATTGGGAATTCTGTTGCGGTGGCAGCTTCTGTGGGTTTGATTGCACACCATCTTTTTGGTGTCTGGAATGGAGACCGTAGGTTGGCTATACGATATGGTGAGGCTTTTGAAGTTGTAAAGGCAAGAACAAGTGTCATCCCATTTGCAGCAATTCTTGATGGGCGCCAGAAGTTGCCAAAAGATTATTACAAGGAATTCCTTCGACTACCATATCTAACAATAACAGCATTAACTTTAGGTGCATATTTTGCTCACCCACTTATGCAGGCTGCCAGTTTTCGGCTTCATTGGTAGCTCATACAATTTCTCCCCTGCTTGTATATGTTTATATTAGATGAGATATACTATCATTCTCTTGGATTGTTAATAGTGAAGTTATAAAAAGATCTTGTGTATAGAAATGTTGAGGGATACATGTATCATTATCTTGCTTGTACATTGTTATTGATATTAGAGCTTAGCCAAACATGCTCTATGAGGAAAATCCCTTCCCCAATAATATTAGGGTTTCAATGTAGGGCTAGTACATATAATTTTATGCTATATTTGAGTTTTATTCAACTTATTTTGATCTCCAACATCTTGCCATTTCAAGACCATTCTTGCACGAACAGTCTTTTATAGTCTTTTCAATCTCTGCTTGTTTGTTCACAACAAAAGGACCTTGCTTAACTACTGGTTCATTGAGTGGCTGTCCACCCACCAAAATGAATCTCAATGCCATGGTAGACTTGTTCCATACACTTAAACCTTCACCAGGGGGCCCAAAACCAAGAGATGGTGAGGGTGACGAATTTGGGATCCCCGATAACCCCTTCACCTTCAAATGTGTACGCAAAAGCATTCCATGATTCCTGGATACTTTGATGATACTGAGCATTGGGTTGTAGCAGAAGTCAAGGTACATTGTAGGCATTCGAGTCTGGGCTGAAGAGACTTGGGGGTAACGAAGCGGACGAATGATATTGACCTCAAATTCATCTTTCTCTGCATTTGGGATGTCCTCACTCAACAATTCTTTGAAAGTTCGGTTACATGAATCCTTTCAATCCATTCCCGTCTGGTTCATTTCCAACTTCTTGACAAGAACTCCATTTGGAAGAGCATGTTTCAATTTAACATATTTGATGACTTCTTTATATTTTGTCCTTGGAGGGAGATTTATCCACAGCTGTAGACATCTCCTGAGTACCATCACTATCACTTGATATTTTGTAATTGAAATTTAACAACAATTTATGCAATGTTAGGTTCAATTAAAAAAATTGATTAAAATTGAAATCAATAATTAATTTTAATCATAAATTTTATGGAGTTAATAACTTTTTAACCACACATTTAATTATTTACTAAAATTCGGATTTTTATCTAAACCAAACAAGGGGTAAATATAATAAAGTTATATATTATTGTTTTAAAATTAAAATGTAAAGCAATACATTTTTGTCATCTTACATTTAGTAGAATATATCTCGTCTCTGCAAAAAAACTATCAAGTCAAAAATATTACATGGTTTTAATTTCTAAAGTAGGACATTTAAATTATAATTAAGTGATCTAGAATAATTTTCAACTACGCATTTTTCAAAAGTTGAATAATATAAATATTTTTATGAGAAAATTTCATAAGTAAGAGGTTTAGTTTTACTAATTTCAAATTTAAGATATTAAGTTTAAAATTTCAAATTTCAGAATTTTTTTAATTTTATTTATAAACTAAATATATTAATGTCACAATTCTATATATTTTGGTCACAAATTTCATATAATTGGTCATAATCACAATTTTCATATATCACAAATTATCTTACGGTCACAATTCAAAAAATTTATAAGTCATGATTTGTTTATCAATCACAAATCAAAAATTTATACGTCACAACTTATTATTCATCGGTCACAAATCTATTAAATTAAATAAGTCACATATTATTCATTGGTCACAAATCACAAATTTTATATGTCACAAATTATATTATGATCACAATTCAAAAATTTTATAGGTCACAAATCTAAAATTGAAACGTCACAATTTATTTATAGGTCACAAATCACAAATATTATAAGACACGACTCAATGGACAATCACAAATTATCAAATTATCGATTACAAATTAACAGTTTTTTAGGTCACGAATTTTTTTTTAGGTCACACGTTTTTTTTTCACAAGTTATCTTTTTCATTGGTCACAGATTAATCAATTTAATAATCACAATCAACAAAATAATTTGTGACCACAACCAACATTTGTGACCATTATCACCACAACCCCCACCACCACCAACAACTATCTCCACCACTAATAGAAACGTACCACCAACACTATCGCCACAACCACTGTCATCACCGCCACAGCCACCGTCACTACTATCGCCACCAACAACCACCTGCACGACTATCACCCAACCACCACTGAACAACCACCAACACCACTACCACACCGCAACAAGCACCACTAAAACACAACCATTTGCAAACAAAACCAGAAAAAACATTAAAAAAAAAAATCTGAATGTGACCACTTCCAACATTTGTGACCATCTCACCATTGTCACTGGCCGCATCACAATCGAAACCACCGTTGCCAGAACCACCACCACCACCTTCTTGTAGAAAAGCCATAATCTCAAACCACTGCAGACACCACCACCACCATAATCATCCTACCACTCCACGACATCACCACCACCACCACAAATCGTCACAAAACTACTGCAAAAATCATCTCAAAAACCATCGCAAAAACCACCACAAACCACCGTAAAACTGTTGCGACAGCACTCAAAACGCGTGTACCACCATAAGACCCCCAAAGAAACATCGATGCACCATTGCAAATCACCCCAAACCACCGCAAAAAACACAAAACTGTTGCAGTGGCGGCAAACATATACTGGTAAAGGAATTTCAACTTTTATAAAGAGAATTATTTTCATATTTCTTTGGTAAAGAAGACGAAGCAAAGGCAGCAGCTAACAATTGTAGATATGAATTACACAATCGATAAAATGGATGAGATTGAGCAAGAAATAAAAAATCTGGAAGAATTTATACGCGACGCAGAGCAACGAATAGAATTATTAACTGTGCACAGGGGTGGATCTAGGGGGTGGCGATGCCCTAGCTGGATCCGTCGAGAAGAATTTTTTTTTTTTTTTTTTAAGAATAGATAAAAGATTTATATTATATATCTGATAAATCATTTTATTTACAATCATCCTTGTTAGATCAGTTGGTTGATGTTTCCTCTATTAAACCAGAGGTCCCGGATTAGAAACCTTCCAATGCCGATATGTTGTGTGATTTTTGTAAACATTTTTTTACCAAAAACAAGTGCAAAGTGGATTTGAACCTATGACCTTTGCTAAAGTATTTTGACAGATTTACCATCATGGCAAGCATTAATTTTTCACACTTAAGGAAACAAAATAATATATGTTCATTTTACCTGTTTTAATGCAAACAGAAACATTTTAACCGGTGATTTGTCCCTCTCCTTGATTATTTTTTTCTCTAATCAATTTATT